TCTACCATTAGCCATGGAAGATCATGAGATCTTCCCTCAGCCTGACCTACTCCACAGGATTGTGTTGGGGATGACACTGGAGAAGGGAGAACTTTTGTATGCTGGTGTGCTTGAGCTATGGTAGGAAATGTGGGGTATACATTTAAAAGATAAATATATAATAAAAAGAAAAAAAATCAATTGACTTCCCCCTTGTTCTTAGTATATGGACTAGTGTGAGGTTTATTATTTATTTATTTATTCATCAAATTTGTATGGCCACCCATCTCACAAAAAGTGACTCTGAGCGGCATACAAACAAAACTCTAAAAAAGTTAATATATAAAAGACAACTATTTTTTAAATTTTTTTTAAAAAAAACACCCACAAGGCTAAGAGAGAGCAGCAAAATTAATAGCAATGGAGCCATCTCGATATCTCACCAGTCCCCTGGGGCCCTGTCTCCTGCGTTGCAGCTAGGAGAGATGACTCAACTGAAATAGATTTGCCTGGAACAAGGATAACAGGAATGGAAACAGAAAGAGAGAAAGTATATTACAAAAATGTAGAAATATTTGTAATGAAGACTGCTCCAGAGAGATTGAAGTCATTGAGTGTGGGCAATAGGTACCAGGCTTTCTTCTCATCCTTTCCACATTTAAGTTCCAAGAAGAAACTGGATTGCTAGCTTTCCTGCACATTGCAGAGGGTTGGATTAAATGATCCTTCTGGTCCCTTCCAAGCAGACATTTCTGTGATTGAATGTGCTGTATTCTCCCACGTTCTTTATTAAATAAAATTAAATTAAAATTATTATCTACAGTTTGACCTTCCTGCAAGGAATGCAGAACACTACTTCTATCATCTCTCTCCCATTCAAGTATTGATCAGGGACAGAACAATGTCTATTGCCATCAAACTATTCCTAGCTTTTAGGATATGGAAGGGGAAGGGGTATGTCTGTGTGGATAAGGGCAGGCAGGCGTGCCTTATTGATTTTTCTGTTTTGTTAATGAGGTTGAGTACAGTTATCTAGACTGAACCCTTGGTTTGAAAATGCCTGCATTATGTAAACATAAAGTTGTGCCTCTAATTGAGGAAGGAGTGGTTTAAGAGCCCCGAAGAATAAGATTTGGGCCTGCCAAAAGCTTTCAGCTGTCAATGACTTCATTTTCTTATGTGTCCTCTTCCTGGGGAGTCACCCATCTGTTTTAGGAAGGAAAGGGAACTTCAAAAATGCTAAGGTTTTTATAGCAGCAAGAGGAAGAAGCAGAACAGATTTTGGAACAGGAGGGGGTCCATACTCTGCATGGAATGCATGCTGTATCTTCGATAGGGACCCTGGCTCTGAATAAGAGACAAAGTCTTGAGTGTGTTGTCAAAAACGGCCAGGCGTCCCCCACTTGAAGTCCCTTTGTGGTCTTCTACTTCTTTTATCAGAAGAGGGCTCCAAACACTCAAAATGCTATCCTGGCCAGAAGATCTTTTCTCAGAACCTTTTGTTCCTGGATGCTAGCTAACTGTGTTTGCATGTCCTGAGAAGAGCCTCAATGTTCTCTAGTGCCACCTGCTTCAGTTGATCAGGTGCTTGTGCCACCCGTTTATTTGCTGATGATGGCAGGAGGGAGCAAGGTTTGAGCTCCTTGGGGGAATCATTGTTTTCAGATGCTGCGTTGGGATTTAAGGAACATAGGCTCAACCCTTCTTGTAGCACACCGCAGCTGACATCATGCCCAGGTGGAGCTGTGCAGGCAGGGCTAGTTTGCTTCTTGAGAACGGGGTCAGAAAAGACCTCTCCACCTCAAGACACACACACTCAGAGGGAGGGCTGAGCATAAGTGAAGAACTCCCTCCCCCCCCCGGCACCAGGGCTCCTGCGAAGAAGCAATTAAAGGCTACGTATAAATATCCAGTCAAGATTTTTAGCCATTGGAAGTGGGAGAAAGACTCAGGAAGTATTATAATAAGGAGGCTGTTTGGGGGACCTGGTGAAGATTGTGCCATCCAGTAGCTCTTTCTTCTGCAGCTTGTCCTTGACCTAAAAACTAACACAATAAATGGAGTTAACCTCTAAGGAGCCTTGACTGAGAAGAGAAGGCGCATGCATCAAGCGTCTGATTCATGCAGTGCCTTTTGGACCTGCTTCTATGGGCTGGACTCTGAAGCAAGTTTTCCTTCAGGACTAGACTCTTGGCACAGCCTGAGAAACTTGGTGAAGCTTTCTATGGGTTGTGCACCTCTGCGTTATCAGCTGGTGCCCTGGCAAGCACAGTCATGGTCCAGAACCTCGATCCCAAGAAGGTCTCCTCCAACTTAGTTACAAAGCAGGCTTGCCATTTCCGATTAGCTTCCTTGAGAAAAAAACTCTCCTTTCTCAAACTTATGTAAGTATATCTGGTTGGTGGAGGAAAACCTCCCTTTGGCTGCAGGGCAGTCTGTTGTTAAGCTGGGAGTGCAAGTGTGAGAAGGGAAGAGGGGCTCTGTGGGATCATGGCCAGTTGCTTTTGGGAAACAAGTAGATCAACCAGGAGGTCAAAATGCAATTATACCTCCCAGTCATCTGTTATTTGGAGCTATTCTGGTTCTGAACATGAAGGAAGGTTCCAGTAATTAATACCTGTTGATAGACTTGACCTCTAGTCATTTGTTTAATTCTTTTTGACGCCAGCTAAAATAAGAGCCGTCCTTATACTCTGTGGCAGTGGATTCCATAAATTAGAAGTGGGTTCTTCCTATTCTTAATGGGTATTTCTCTGAAAAGTTTTTTGGGGGTGGATTTCTCTGAACTTTAGGGTTCCTCAAAGTCTACTTTGGTTACAATTCAGAATTGACTTTGCTCTGAGTATGTACTAAGGGAAAGCACTGGTGAGTATTTATGCTGTCCTGCTAAAGAACTTCAATATGGGAGAATGGGACCGAACCCTCTTTTATATGATGCAGGTGATTTTTCAGCCTGCTGGTATAACAAGTGTTTGCTAATTTTAATAACTTCAGGAGTTCAAGGCAGCATATGTGATTCTTTCCCTTCAATGTGATAGTCACAACAATCTTTCAAGGCAGGTTGTGCTGGGAGATTAGTAAGTAGATTAATGTTAAATCTCATAGCTCACTTGGGACTTGAACTTGGGATTCCTCAGTTTTAGCCCAGAGCTGGAACCACTGCACCGGCACAGAGAGAAGATGAATGTTTGCAAGCTTCTGTTAAAACAAGGAATAGTTCAAAGACGAGCGAGATTTGAGCTAAAAGATGTGATGCAGGAAAGGTGAATGGCGTTGATGAGATTCAAGCATCATCTTGGCTCAATGTTCAGTGTTGAGCTTATTTATAAACAACAGGATGACCCCAAATGACTGCTTTGGTTTAATAAGAAGGTGAATCAAACTGTGATGGAAACACCATCCATTGGATTTAAAAACGGATTGCTGGGCTGGCTTGTCATGGGCAATTTTTCTAGCACAGCATCAGGTTTCTCTGCCCGGTCCCAGCTCTACTGACATACTGTAAATATTAGAAAGAGAAACTGATGAGAGAAAACCAAGGAGAGAAGAGGGATTTATGAGATGGAAAGGGAAAGTCGGCAGGCAAGTGATCTGCACGTGGTTGAAAGTCTATCTGGTGGGAAGAGAAGACACACCAATTTTATAGGGTTAAAAGGAAGTCAGTTGGTTTTTGGTTTAAAAGAAAACTGCATTGTGATAAGTGTAATCATTACTAGTTCAGCTCACTTTCCAACAGCAGGCAAAGACAGGACCAAAAGTACGTTTTGGCTGCCCTGTTTTGGTTCTTGCAGGAAAAGAAATCCTTCTGTTCTTTTTTTATTTGTAATAGTGCACAAGGCTTCCCAGCATTGAGATCACCAACTTTGTGAAATATCTGTATCTATACAGGGAGATGTGGGTACATGTTTTTCCTTCTCCTTTAGAAAGGTTAATCCCGCTCAGTCTGTTTTTCTGGCTCTTTGACTGGGATAATGAAGAGGTGCTAAAAGCTCCAATTTCTCTAGTTCAGTGATGGAGCGGTATTTGACCTGTTCTGGGACATACAAGGACAGTCATGCCAATGGGTACGCCTAACATTTCTGGGAAGGACACAGCCTTGGGGCAGAACTGCGACGTAAAGTCGGTTGTACACATGGGCAGAGAGACCTTTTTGTTTTCTCTTTGGAGGAGGGTTTGGGGGATTTTCTTTGTTTTCTAATCTCTAGTAAGCCTATTTTAGGCCTTACACTACAGTTTGTCTATGTCCCCTGTCTTGAAAGGGTGGGAGAATGTTTTCTGGTTTTGCTCAGGTAGGCAAGAGGCAACATTCAGGGCAAGGAAGGCTTCAGAGCAATATTAGCATCAGCTTCCATTTTCCTAGACAAGGGACTGGATGGTATTCCGTAGAACTTTACCCCATAAGAAAATGAATTAGGTTTAAGGTGCAGTAAGAATCTTTGGTGGGTTTGCCGCAGCAAAATAGCACAGCTGTCCCTGGGGAAATGATAAACTGTATGATCTGAATCTCCGTCCCACGTAGCAAAACCTGAAGCTGCCGAGGATAGCTAGGCCTGATCAATAACTTTTGCTGAAGCCTTCTATTTTGCTGCCTTCTGCAAGCCTGGTACAATTCTCCAATTATCTGCTTTTTGTTCCTTTGGCGCCAGCATTGTTCCTTTTCCAAGACAGGTAAGGTGGGTTGCTAATTACAGAAGGAAGCATCATGGCACTGTGGTTGTTGCTACATCAGGTTTTGATAAAAGATCCAGAATAAGATAATGCCTCCTCTTTCTAGCTTCAAGCCTTGCCCACCTAACATCCCAGCCTCACTAGCTATTCCACAGCCCTTGACACCACTCCACCATGAGAGAAAAGCTCTATTATCTCTGAACCATAGATGTTGGTCGTGTTCTGTGTCAGAGGTACATGGATTCACCCACTTCTGAACCTTTTGTGGGATGAAATCACACCATCTTTATTTCAACTCCTCTCAACTGATCCCATGTTCCTACTTGTTTTCTTTTGTTTTTCCTGTCCCTGAGGTCTCTCAAACCCATCACAGAAGTTGGAACGACACATTTAAGGTGCTGTCTCCGAGAAAGAACCAGGCTGCCAGTGGCTGGAATGAAGCATGCTTCCATGAATTTTGTAGTGCACACAACAGTTCTGCAGGAAACTTTTCCATTCTCTAGGCTGGTTTTACACTAAACCTCAGCCATGCCTCCTTAAATCGTCCTTGAGATTTAAGCATGGGTCCAGCAAAACTCTTCTACCTGCAGAGGTAGATGCATACCGTCCAGGTTCATACATTCTGCGAAGACATCCTGTGATCTGTTTGAGTTTCACTTAGTGCCCCACAAAATCAAAGTTGTTCTATGTTTGTTCCTGTCTTCTCAGTTCTCAGATGTGCCTCACATCCTTTTCTCATCTCCAAAGCAACTCCTTTCTTTTAGCATATCTTTCCACTTCCTCTACTGTATCTCCTTTTAAAGAGTGATTTAATTTATCGATGAATGCCCTGGGCTTGCAATATTTTGATACAGAGTGATCTGAACTGCATTTTTCATTAGTGTCAGTGGAGGGTGCTCGAGAAATGGAATTAGGACTGTTCCCCCCATGAAGGTGGTTAAACAGATGTAGGGGGAGATAGCTATGACATGAAGAAGGATATGGGGAAACCTCATGGCCCAGCATGGTCCTTTGCTGCTGTGAATGCCCACACTGGTTGAGTCAAGCAGAGTGCTGCAGTCGTGGTTGGATGTTTGTGTGTTATCTTTCCCACACAGGATGCTTCAAGGCACTAACGCAGTTAACACTGTAGTTCTGGGAAATAGGTAAATATAGTTGGTAATTTGCAAATAAGGTGATTGGAAACTTATGGTTAAGAGATGTGACACATGAACTGAGAGGTCTGCAGTTTAAATTTGACCACAGACTTCATGGTCAGGCAAACTCTTCTGAGTTGGCCTCTGCTCAGTCCGTGGGAAGTGGGGGTGGGAAGTTCCCAACACTGTAAAGATCAGTGCAAAGAGTTTCTGAGAAAATATTAAGTGAAGAATCTTGAATGCTACAGAACAGCCATGATGTCCCCCAGACTGGTTGGATTTCAGAGTCCCTGGCCAGTATTTAACAAAAGGATGAAAAGGTAAAAGGGATATCAAGATGGTGACTGACAGGACTGCAAACCAAGTCATGAGGAACAATGAAAAGACCTAGGTATGTTTAGCTTGCAGAAGAGAAGGTTGAGAGGGGACATGATAGCTGTCTTCATATACCTGAAGGGCTGTCACATTGCAGAAGGTTCAGACTTATTCTCATTTGCTCTAGAGGGGAAGATTAGAATATTACTGTGTCTTTCTTTTCAATCCTGATGTCAAACTTGTGACCATTAATTATTTTGTGTGAAGACTGACCTGTTTGCCCTACATAGAACCCAGAGGGGCATTGCTGGCAGATGATGGCATATATCACATTGAAGGAAGAGCATGTGAAGGTACCTCTAGTGTGTATACATGTTGGGGCCTGTAATGGTGTTGTTGGTGTAGATGTGGAAGCAAAATAGGCATTTGGATTTGTTACAGATTCTGGTTCCCTTCCCATGTTAACACAATTGTTTTGCTGGATTTTTGTTGCTTATGAGAATCTATTTCAAGTTGGGTAGTTGTCTGTAAGCAAGAATATATCTGCCATCCAGCGTCTGAGAAAGTGTAATGTCATTCTCCAGTATGGGTTGTAGCCTCTTCATAATGTATTTGGAAATCTTGAGCTACAGGGAGCAGTTCGTGGTGTTGTTTTTGTGTTCTGTCTTTTCATAGGTCCTCCCTGGGAATAGATCTGGCTCTATTGATTTGTCTATTGATCTTGCTGGGTGGGTAGTTCAGTCTCCTGAACGCCTGGTTTAATTCCATCAGTTGAGCATCTCTATCAAGTGATTTGGAACAAATGTAGTTGTAGTAAACTTGGCTATAGAGAATAGACTTAGTGGTGTGTTCTGGGTGAAAGCTGGAAGTATGTAGGTATGCGTGGCAATCTCTGAGTTTCCTGTGTAACATGGTTTTTATGTATCCATTGTGTGGTTTTTACCATGACATCAAGGAAGTGGACTTCTGTTGTAGAAAGGTCAAGGCAGAAATTGAGAGTAGGCTGGAAGTTGTTGAGGTCATGATGCCTTTCAATAAAATGTGTTGGTTGGAAAAGGTGCTACCAGACTCCTTCCTGTTTAAGACTCTGTTATGTAACTGCATTTCACTCCTGATGTTATTTGACATTTATCCCATCAGAGTCAATTTCTTGGGGAGCTGAAGGATTTTTGGAGTATCAACATCACACGCTTGCCCTGAAAAAAAGCAATTGGGGAAATGGACTGGATTTAATTAATTCTACTTTTGACACCAGGGTCTTGCACACAAGCAAAGTTTTGATTCTTTTGTACACAGAGCCTGAGTTCACACCTCACGCTAGGTCATGGATTGTTTTATCCATGCTTTGCTGAGCATGCCATAATGGCTTAGTTCACATGTTGAGCCAACAACTATCATCTGTATAACCTAGACCAGTGTTGTCCAAACTTGGCCACTTTAAGATGAGTGGACTTCAACTCCCAGAATTCCCCAGCCAGCATGG